TTTCTGTGTTGGTATTTTATCACTCATTGGTGAAAAGTGCCATGTAATATGATTTAGTGGGGAAAAATTATCATATATGTTGTTATTGGCTTATTTACCCTTCTTTTCTGTTCAGTGGTTAGTACTATTTCAAATATATGTCTTGTATTGAAAATAATTTGTGAAGCTGTAGCTGAAAAAGTTGCAATTACTTCTTCTTGGTGACTATCATAACTGTTCTTGTCGAATACTGAGAAAAGGACTGCAAGGCACGTCTGATTTTACTTAGGGTTTCTTTTTTTTCCCCCCCCTCCCATCTAGCATGAGTCCCTTCTTTGTGATGTCTCTCCTCTTTGGCCTGACTTTTGGTCAAACAGCATCACTTTGTGCTCCTTCTGAGTACACAATCCACGTGGAGAAAAGGGAATGTGCCTACTGCCTGGCCATCAACACCACCATCTGCGCTGGATTTTGCATGACTCGGGTACAGGAAGTTACTCTCTTTTAGGCAGTTGTTCCCGTAAAGGCCATCACTATAAAAGATGTGCCTATTCTTGCTGAAAAATATGTGTGAAAGTTACTCAGGCTAGAAATGTCTGTCATAGACAGAAAAATCATATTATTGTCACAGTATCCAGTTAGCTTGTTGTGAAGATACGGATGAGAAATGCCAAGGCTCCCAAATTCTGTGGAGTTTATAATAACAGTGGCATAACAATGAACTGATTGCTGCTGTTGCTGCAGAGCCTCTCTAGTCTGTGGGTTCAGGATGGAACAAGTGAGAAGCAGATTGTATTTGGTCACTCTTTTAGTGATGACTTGATTAATTTCAAGCCCAACAAATTTGCCAGGGGGTGAAAGCAATGAACTACTATTGTGACAGCTGTTGAGAATATCTCACATGCAGGCGTGCCAAATGCTATGCTTGAGCTTCGCTATTCAACATAGCATTTTAATTTCCACCCTGGTCAGTAGGTAGTCAATACAGAATAAAAGGTCCTGACAGCACTTTGGGCCAAACAGGACATTAGTTAAAACCATAAAAGCAAGGCGAACATTTCTAGAGATGTAGAGATTCCCAGTCACATGCAGATTCAAAATGAAAGGTCTAAACAGAAGTACACCAAAAATATCAGAACTAGTCTAAGTGTAAAGGGGTTGGCTTTCTGCACATATGAGAAAATGCCAAAGGAAGTTTTTCAACACTCATGTATGCTTCTGTGAAACAATGCATTTCTTTTTTCTTTGTAGGACAGCAATGGCAAGAAGCTGCTGCTCAAAAGTGCTCTGTCCCAAAACGTGTGCACATACAAAGAGATGTTGTATCAAACAGCACTGATTCCAGGCTGTCCTCATCACACCATCCCTTACTATTCCTACCCTGTGGCCATAAGCTGCAAGTGTGGTAAATGTAACACTGATTATAGCGACTGTATTCATGAGAAGGTTAGGCCAAACTACTGCACTAAACCACAGAAGCTCTGTAACATGTAATCTTCCAACAGAATGTGGTAGAAATGTACCTTTCTGCTCACAATTAAACGTAAATAAAATTGTATTTCATAACGGGTTTGCAAACTGGTGTGCACAAAGTCTTATTCTAAAGAGGTATCACTAGAATTAATTTGATGAATTGGATGTTGTGAAATGCACAAAAGTAGAATCATAGGACTGCAGATTTATATTTAGAACCAAAATCTAATTTAGGGAAGAAGGAGAAGTAACTGTGTATGTATGAACCCTTGCTCATAAATTCCAGGTATTGTGTGAAGAGATGCTCAGAGACAAACCATTTACTATATCTAAGAATTAAAAACTGGACAACACATACTCAGTATTAAACAGTTCAGTAGACTGACGTATCCTTGCAGCCTTTATATTAGCAACCGTATTTTTCCATGTACGTAATACATTTTTTAGAGGACCCTAGCTTTATAGCATAGTCAGCTGGAACTAAGCACATGCAGTTATGTATCTACACTATAGTTCTGCTTTATCGCTAGCGTTGTCCAGACCTGTGTTCATTAGCATTGGTAAGCATACTTTTTCATGTCCTTGCACTTGCAGAGTAAGCCTCTCTTTTCTGTTACAGTGCACAGAAGAAGTTGTAACTCTTTCTAAGCATTGAAGAAACAGTGAAGCTTTAAATCTTGCTGCTCTGTTCTCTGCAATAATACTACCATAAGTTGGTATTATTATTATTGTTGTATATATTATTATATTATGGTGTAATACCATCAAACTCAAAATGAAACTCAGAAAAGAACCCTCTCTTTCCCACACAGGTCAACTGTCCCCTTTGAGTTTCAAAGTGATCTGAGCCCCATCATATTTGCTGAACATGCACAGGTGAGAAATGCAGACCCAGGAATTTGGAAATACATGTAAAATAATAAACGTTTCCTTTTCTTTAGCTCTGATGATTCAGTGGCAAGTTTTGATTCTACTAGACCAACCACTGGGAATGAGAGCTAGTTTCCACCTGGTTTAACTGATCCAAACACAAAGTAGAACATACGGAATTCAGTGGTAACTTTGGCCCTCACCTCTATTACCTACAACAGGAGTGATGAAAACACAGTTTGATCTGTATCTGCTCAAGTAAATGTGTTGTCAGCTGATTCAAGATCACTATAGATAGAGAGCAGGACTACACTGAAGACATGAATAGGGCTGACCAAAAAGAAAAATAAAACCTTAGCTATTAACTCGATTACCAAAGTTTTTGTACTTTGCATTTTAATCTGAGTAATGGTAGACAAGAAATTATCAATGTGTGGCAAACTATCACTAACTTCCTACTATTACTAGGATATATAGTATTAACACTATATAGTGTTGTAAATTCATTACATTTCTTTTTAATTATACTAACATCCATTTTTTGAAGTTAAATATTGCATTCAGAAAAGCTATTAGGGTGAATCAAAGTGATTATAAACCAATTTAATTAAGATGAAAACCAAAAAGTTTGACACATACAGAACGTGAATGATTTGCAATATTAGAAAAGGAATGATCCCAATCCCTGGCTAAAAGTGTCTGAAATGGTCATTTCCTGTCAGTTTGACTACTCTCATAAGTTACAAGAGTCAAATTTACTGTAGCACCTGGAAATACTACTGTAGTAGCATTTAGTATTTAGTATTAGTAGTGAGGTGGGGGTTGGTCTATTCTCCTACATGCCTGGGGACAGGACAAGGGGCAATGGGCTAAAGTTGCACCAGGGTGAGAAATGCGGCAGGGGAGTTTTAGGTTGGATATTAGGAAGAACTTCTTTACTGAAAGGGTTGTTAGGCATTGGGATAGGCTGCCCAGGGAAGTGGTGGAGTCACCATCCCTGGAGGTCTTTAAAAGACGCTTAGATATAGAGCTCAGTGTAATGGTTTAGTCGAGGCCTTGTTAGTGCTAAGTCAGCGGTTGGACTGGGTGATCTTGGAGGTCTCTTCCAACCTAGACGATTCTGTGATTGACATTAGCAAAACCAAAAGGGTAACTATGCCTATTTATAGTAATAAGCAGCACTGCAAAATTATTGTAATGATCCCTCTATCTGATAGATTTGTCTTCAGTCTGAAGATATGCATGCAAAAAAAATAACAGTCTACTTGCATGGTTGATGCCTATGCAAACCCACTGAGAGGAAAATGACTGGAATGGCTTTATAGTTAAAAAAAAAAAAAAAAAAAAAAAAAGACATTTCTGTGAGTGATACTTGTTAAACATCCCTTTATATGCTCTCAAAGCACTTTTTCCCTTTGGCCTTTCAGCAGTATTTTCTACTTTAAGGCCAGGTCCAGCAGGACTTTTTCACATAACACCTTTTCACATAACTAACCAACAGATTTGCAGACAGCACGAAGATTTTGGGAGGAGGCAAAGATCTTAATTTTGGACAGGAAGTAACAAAAGAGCATGGGAGCACACAACATGAAGGAGGCCTGCAGGAGCTGCAGTCCGCCGGAGCCCACACCGAGGCAGGTTTGTCCTCTGAAGGTAACTGGCCTCCTCCTCCATACCGACATCGCCGTCGCATTAAACGCGAGGCCTCTCGTGTCTAGAGAAGGCTTGGAAACTGGGCCGTGCTCCAGCTCCGGTTGCTCTGACGCCCACCGTTTTGCAGCGAAGCGCCCGCCCGTTCCCTGGCCGCCGCCGCCCCCGCGACCCGCCGCGAGCAGGAGCGCAGCGCAGCGCCACGGGGCGCCCCCCGCCTGCTGAGGCGCGGTCGGCAGGGCGGGCCCGCGAGCGCCCCGGAGGAGGGGACCGAAGGGGCGAGGCGGCGCCGGGCCCGCGCTGCGCGGAGGCGCCCGCGGACGGAGCCGCGCCTCGCCCGTCCTCGGCGCGCAGCCCCGCCGCCACAGCTGGGGGAGCGCGGGGCCCCGCCGTCGTCGGCGCCTCAGCCGCTGCGGGAGCGGAGCGCGGGCCGCGTGAGTGCTGCCGGCCGCCATGGCGGAGCTGATCCCGGCCGCGCCCCGCCCCGCCGCGCGGCTCCCTGCGTCTCGCTGCGGGCTGGCGGCCGCCGCTCCGCTCCGCTCCGCGCCCCGCTCCGCGCCGCTCCCGGCGGTGCCGCGGCCGCGCGCTCTGGCCGGGGCCGGCTCCGGCTCCGGCTCCTTCTGCAGCCCGCCTGCGGCTCGGCTCCGGGGCGGCCGTGGCACCGCCGAAGGCGGCGGGCGCTCTCCTCCGGGGCCCGGCCCGGGGAGCCCCCCGCCGGGCCGTCAGCTGCCCGCCTCGCGGGCCTGTGGCGGCGCGGCCGGTTCTCGGCTCCCCGGCCCGCGCCGTCGCCGTCTGGTCGCGCGTTCGCAGGCCGGTGGCCGGCCCCGGCGTCCTGGGCGTGCTGCGCTTCGGGACCCGACAGGTGAGGCGAAGGCGGCTGTGGCCCGGCGGGGGGGGTCTCCCTCAGGCGCCGCCGGCCGTGCGGAGGGCGGTGCGGGGCCGTCCCCGGCCTGAGGCCGGGACCTTGCGGGAGGCGGCTACGGACAGCGCGCGCCGCACGGCACAAAGACAAGTTCTTCCCGCTAGGCTTTTATTTCAGGTTATCTTTATTAGAGCGTTGCTTCAAATTCATGGCAAAACCGGTAAAACACCACTTCAGAACACATTACGCTACAGGGAAGTGGAAGCTAATTTCAGCAACAGAAGGAACATCAACCCTTTTTTTTTCTTTACAGAAAGCTGCTATAGAGGTAATGCTGCTACACTTTGCAGTCATACACTGATGATACCCCAGTTCTATCCAAAATCAGAATTTGTGCTATAGAAACAAATACATTGCACTGGAAGTGGTTTGTGTTTTGGAGAACCTAGTAGAGGCAGAAGCACCAACAGAGAGGAAGACGTGATATCGGTAAGCTTTATTTATGTACATTTCTATGAACGTCATCTGATGCTGTTAATCAGTAGCCTCCAAAGGCTGTAAAAGATAGTATTTGAAGGCTTAAGATAACTCAATTTAATTTTCAATAAATATGAAATACATTTTGCTATAAAACTATCACTTTCAGTATAAAGTGAAATATGAATCTTCATTGTAGGGATATTACAGGGCTGTGCTTCATCAGCTCCTGTTCAATCTCTGGAAGATATCAAAACTGGCTGAGTTTAACTGTAACAAGTGAAGCTCCCACTCAAGTCAGTTACTCAGAAAAAAATAGACATGGTAAATGTGAATAATGATGTTAAAAGAAATTAGGGAATCAACTACTTACATTTTTATAGGTTAGAACAAACTGGTTGACTGGATCAGACTGGAAGAAAATGTGTGTGCTCTCAAAATTATCCCCTGGCAGGTTTTAGTCTTTTGCCACTTTCTTACAGCTTTGACAGAAAATCTGTATTTTCTGTCCTTGAATGAATTAAAAAAGGCCTTCAGTTACGAAGTTGCAGAGAAATCTGCTGAACAGTACTGCAGATATGTACCTCACAGCAGCAGGAAACAACGAAAGAGGCTCTATCTCAGGATTCCGCTAAAAGCACTAGTAGATAGTAATGCATCGATTTCCATATACCAATAACTTAAGAGAATTAAATCAGCGACTGGTATCATTCTATTCCTGATATGCAGTGCAGATGTCTTATATACCCAGACAGCAGTAAAACCTAGAATATAAGCAGTCATTATGCTCAGAAAAACAAATGCACTGTACTGTTCAGAGGAGAAAAAAACAAAACACTGCAAGATAACACAAGACAACAACTTTGGCAGAAAGTTAGTTTGTTCGAGTCTGAATTTATAGCATATTTCTTTGTACCACTCTTTCCTGTTTTCATAAGGCACTTTTTGTCCTTCTGGGTGAGTGAGGGCCTTGGGAAGCAATAGAAGTCTCTGCAAACTGCCTTTTATTCAGTGCATCTGAAAAGCAGGATTCATCATCTTTCAATTTAAACAAACAGTAAGCAAATAAAGAAGCTGCCTCTGGCCATATCATTACATTTTGATGCTACAAATTTGAGAAATTAAAACCAAGTGGTATTCATAGATGTGTTTTAGAAAAAGTAGTCGTTACATGGGTGGAAGGTAAGAGAGGGAGACAGGAATTTACTGTAAATAAGTGGTCCGTGTAGGGAAAATATTTGGGAACCCAGAACACTGTTTTGCCTTTTGTGGTATTCTTACCAATTGTAAAAAAAAAAATACCAGTTGTAAAATGTTTTTATGGGAAAGCTCTCCTGCTCTGAATGGCCAAAAATGACACTATACATAAGTTTCTTCTTTCTGCCAGTCTTACCTTGGGAGAAAATGCCCCAGTTGTACACTATCTCTTTTTCTCTTCAGGACAGAATCAGTTGTAGGGGCGGTCTCAAGGATATCTGGGATCTAGGAAATGGCTTTGTTATCAGCTATGAGAAACTTATTTTCTTAGTGTCAACTTGAGACCCTCATGGATTTGCTGCCAGTGTCATTCTCCCAGCTGAGACTTTCTTAAGAGCAGAAAGCTGATCAGGGACAGATTTCTTGGTCTGATACCTGCGGAGTAAGGTCCCAGGACCTACTTTTACATGGCATCCATAGTTAATAAGCTGTGGACAGTGATACAAGCCTAACTCTTCTCTGGTATATGATACAACATCTCTTATCATCAGGGGACCTGAAGCTGAGCATAGAAACTACACAGATGTCAGTGCCTGTTGCATACTCAGCTGATACTGCCTTTAGTGCACAGCTGTCTCAGTGCCACTGGATAGTCACAGTTGGTGGCTGAAAAATTTGAAAAGAGAGATCTATGTAAAAACTATCAAGATGTGTCAATTAAATGGGAAATACGGAACAGCAGCATTGTTTCCAGTGCTGAAGTAATAAAAAAGTGATAGGAGTTTGAGTTTCTTTGGGAAATGAGACATAAATTTCATGAGGGATGTATATTCCATGCACACGTGCACTAGACTGCACACATTTCCTGAAGTCCCATCATATTCTAGTGTAATAAATTACTTGTAAATACCAAGTCCTGTTAGACATTATGGACCATTTCACTGAGATACGTAATTTAGCTGAATTCTTCCCTGTCATACCCACTCTCTTAAAATGGAACAACTGCATCAGAAATCTGAACTAATACTAATCAGATGGACTGAGCTGGTATGTGGACATTGCTAACAGAAAGTTATTCCCTGAAATACTGAATTACCTGAAGTAAGCCAAAAATCAAAAGATTCTGAGCCCTTACTGTGATTTATTACCTCCCTTTGGGGATAAGCTTTGTCCCTTCTAGGCTGCTTTAAAAGGAACACATTCTTATAAATAAATATGAAAAATAGACAAAAATATGGAAACAAACTATGTAAACGCAAGCCCTGAGGTATTTCAAGAACACTAATTTTTATACCTGACAGACAATCTACAACTGCCAGTAAGAAAGTTTTCTTTATGGCTCTGTAAAAACGTCCCATTTTTCTTCTCTGTCTTACACCCACAAGAAAGGGTGAGAGGTTGAGGTAAGAGCCCCATGAAAGCTGTGATCGTCACCGAAGCAAAACCAGAGGATATTAAAGTGCTACATGTCTTTCCCTGACCATTTTCTGTCTTCAGTTCCACGGACCAGTTAGGTTCTACAGGGTATCTGGCAAAGCTGCTGCTTTTTTTGATACAGTTTCTACTTCTGCACCATCATTTTAGACCATATAGTGTCTTGCAGAATAAAGGGACTTCTGAATAAAGATTTTAGTGGTCCCTTAACTGATATTTTTATTAAATTTATTTATTTATTTCCGTGTCTCAGGCTACCTTTGGAAGCTTAACCACACTCTTAACCACACTGCACTGCAATCGCTCCCAAATGACTGTGTATATTGCCAGCTTCCTACCTCTCTCCCTCTCTTTGTTTAGCCTGAATCTCCTTGGACATGTTTCCTCTTACAGAGCTTTCTGTATGCATGAAAATACAACTGGACATCGAAAAAAAAAATAAATATATATATATATAATAATTATAATCCAATCTGTGCATGACAGTGAAGTCACAGAATCACAGAATGGTTGAGGTTGGAAGGGACCTCTGGAGGTCATCTGGTCCAACTCTCCTGCTCCAGCTGGGCCACCCATAGCAGGTTGCCCAGGACAACATCCAGGCAGCTTTTGAAGAGCTCCAAGGAAGGAGACGTCACAATCTCTGAGTAAACTGTGCCAGTGCTTGTCAGGTCTATTCACGTGAAGTTCTTTGGAGCAGATTGTTAAGCCTTCCCCCCCCGCCCCCATTTTTTTTTTTTTTAATCAAGTCCAATTTTATTTTTTTTTTTCTCTTTGGGCTTTGGAAAGAATAGTTACAAAATGGATCATAGGTCTTACTTTTTAAAATGGCATTTAGTTCTCCGCCAATTCTTGGCAAATTGGCTCAGTATAAAAGGGTTTCAAGCAACCTATGGGTGTGTGTACACTCTTGCATAGTGATGACTCTGGAAGAATATGCATGCAAATGTGCACACACAACATATTTCATTTGCACATACGTACCTAAACAAGGTACTGCATATACAGATACCTGTTAAATATGTGTACATATATGTAATGAGAGATATGCATGTGCTGATATGATGTCTGCAGATATGTGAACTCTTAATTGCACATACACAAACATTAAACAAATTAGTCTTAGATACTATCTTTGCTTTTTTCATTAGAAAGGACATTTTAAAACCCTTTTTGTTTACTTCAGTTTTACTGTAACTAATACAGTTCATCTCCTCACCTAATGGGATATTTTCCTCTAAGTATGTTAAAACTAATTAAAATGTATTACAGTTATTAAGTTGGGTAGAAGAGTACTTCTTGTAAAGCTTAGTCTTGAACTTCTGGGACATGGTTGTGCAGTGTAAGTTTTAGATCATTTCTCTTGTGTTACGGATTGCACAGCAGAGAACCATGCTGAATATCATGCCAAAGATCTAGAAGAGAAGGAATGCAATTTAGGGATCCACTTAAAAAAAATAAATTATAAAAATACAACGCGTATCTCAACAATTTGAAGGTTCTTATTGCAGGGTAGCAAGTGACTGCTTCTATCTACAAACCTTAAGATATCAGACAACTGATGTCAATCAGATACTTCACTGATACTTAAAGCCAAGATTTTACATGTCCACATTGGTTTCACTGTTCTTTGTTCTGAATGGCCAGCATAACAGCCCCCAAATGTTAATTTTAACATAAACTGCACTAACATGAATAATTGTGACTGTTGGTATTATGCCTAGCATCGCATCAAAAGCTTCTGATTTTTGGAATGCTTATATGTGGAATATTGTATACACATTTGATTAAGAGAAGAGAATGATTCCAGAGGAATCTCTGGTACTGGTGTTAAGCATTGTGGTTTTACAGAGAAAGCTAAGCTCTAACAGTTGCTACTCAGGACCGAGACTATACATTAGATATAAAACTCTATTCATGCTGGGGAACTAGTTTACTAGAATGTTAAAAGCAGAGAACAGTGGGTCTCCAGAGCCTCCAGAAATTTCTTTTTGCCACGGTTTTATGTTGCAAAGCAGTGTTAGCAGCTACTGCCTGAGGCTTTGCTGCAAATGATGGGAGATGTCAGTACTATTGGGCAGTTAAATCACTGAGTTCACATCCCCTTCCAGCACACCTTAAGGAAAAAGGAGACAGCTGATGAGTCACACACCATGAAGTGTCAGAAACAAGCATGGAAAAATGTACTGACTTGCTTCTCTGCTGAAGAGATTATTGCTTCACAATTTCTACTGTATCAGAGGTGGGAAGCCACTAGCATATTTCTAGTGTATATATGTTGAGCATTGTGGTTATTGGAACTGTCCTACCAACACTGATGTGCTGCACTTTTGAGTACACCTTCACATTTTATGCAACTTACAGCTCAAGTGATCTAGGATTGTTTACCCACCCCACAGTTTCCATTACATACATAGACCCTCCATCTGCTTTGAATGTCCACATAACTCCATGAACCTCCTACTCTTCAGAGCAGCTAGAAGCATATTTCTTATAAATTTTCCATTTATAGGAGGTCATGGCAAATGCGTGCTGGAAAATGCTTTCTGTTAAAGCTGTGTTTGATATAGACGGCCCACTCCTGCCATATCCTTGCAGCAGGGTGACATCTACTGGTCACAGCTCTGCCACGAAGGAGTACACCTTGGGAAAACAGCAACACATACTTGTGGGAGAAGGTGGAGTGTAAGGAAAGTTTTAATGATGCTTTAATGATATAATTCACTGAATCGCTACCTAGGTGCTGCATGTTTAGGAGAGAGATGCTATTCTGAAAACTGTGCAGTTTAAATCCTACTCCTTTAACACAGCACATAGTGATCACTGGATCTGTGACCTAGAAAATCTTTATGTAAACTATCCTTCACATTGAACCAATGTTACAGACAGCATTTTCCTGAAAAGCCATATCAGAGGACACACAGAAGGTGCTAAGAATTGTTGCATCTTTGAGGCATATCACCAGCAGCTGCAAAACAAACCTATTAATAAGGGATGGGGAACTGGACTCAAATACTGATAGAGTGAGAGCATGGGTTTACTCACTGTGATGCCAGCAATTGCAATTCCAACAATTCCAAGTAAATGCAGATTAGCATCAAGTACATTCTGGATTTCAACCAGGCAGTTCTGTTGAAAACAAAATTAAAAGATTTTCACTCCTACAAAAGTACTCTTCAAACAACTCTATTAATTCTGCTCACTAAACAACAGATGAATATTAAAAAGATTAGTGCAGTCTCTGCCCTAACCCTTGTGTCTATACTTTGTGTTTTGTTTGACAGCTTTCACAGCATATTCCCTTTTTAGTGAGACATCAGTATTTGAATGTGCTATTATTTACTTCTTGCCTGTACAGGCTGACACATACAAGTCATCCTCTTACAATCAGTTTACCATCAAACTCTCTCTGTGATCTGCCATGCTCAATAAAGATGTCTGGCCCTTCAGATTGATAGAGTACTGATAAGCAGATTGATCAAGTGATAGAAGTAACAGTAGCATTCTTAAAAACAACAAACTATCTATTCAAGAGTCTCTGCAATACTAAGACAGGCACTTGCCAAAATTCAGCTTTCACAGGGTCTTCCTTTTGTGACTCCTGTTCTGCTACATCCTTCTCATCTTGCTTTTCCGATGGTGTAATATTATCATAGCTACAATGGGATGCTGCAAGCAGGCTTCAGAAATCAGGGCAGGGTACATTCCATATGACCTCCAATTTAGTTCCGCCTCTACTTTGTTCCATTTCATACAGAATTTCCTTGCTGGAATTCATGAGGTAAAAAGGAAGTTCTTTCTTTCTTTTACTTCTAGAATGTCTCCAATTTTACTGAATGATTGACATGAAAAATTATTAAAACAACCAGAACAGAGGACACTTGCCTTTGGCATCTGGATATTCTCTGGACAAGGTAATCCCGTTTGTTGTTCCATATTATCTTTACCACAGCATTGGAGCTAAGTGAGAAAGAGAGTGTCAAAAGAAGGGGACATCATAAACTGTTTCCTGCTGATAGTGAGTCAATTGATAACAAAAAGTAAGAGAAAAAAATATACAGATCAAGTCATAAATTTATTCCATGTACTGACTGATACCTCTGGTAGAGTTCCAACTGCATGGGTTCTCTAAAATCAATTTCAATTGTCTGTAGCCATAATAGACAAATTCCTACTGAAAAAAACCTTCCAGAAGTATCTCATAGCAAATAAAATAAGTAGATTTTGGCAAACTGGAACCCCAAATTCCAAGGAAATAGGCATGGAGAAAGTAGAAAGTCCAAGCAGCACATATATAATTATGGGCAATGCACAAAAGCTACAACAGAGAATACGAGAATCTCTATTTCTGACAGATTATTGTGCTGGGTTTGGAGACCATAATAAATCAGTTTTTCAGAGGGTTTGTTTTTACTGTTTGCATGTCTCCCACAAAATGCTTAGAATTCCTCTTTGGGTCAGAAATAACAGCCATGGGAGAAGGACAAAAGGGTCTGAGGTTGTAAAATGTCTGCTCTAAGGAACGTGGGAATGCTGTGAGGAGCAACAACGCCAGGGCTTGATCTCTGTGGGAGGCAGAGTAGATAAAGTGGCAAGTAGCATTCAGGAAGTCACAGGTTCTAATGCTGATTCAGATGCTAACTCTGGGTGGCCTGAATTGAGTCACAAATTATGTTCTATTGTTTTTTTGTCTACTTGGTTCAGTCTGTGACAGTCAGTTCAGCCAGTTACTTCCTGTTGGTAACACTGTAGTTCCTGGGACATTGGTCACAGGTTTTTCTCTGGCAAAATAGAGACTCGTCCATGTACTTCTCGCTGCATTTTTGTGTATTTATTCTTGGACTTTAAAATCTAAAAGATCCATAATAGTCATATCTACTGCACAACAAAGACCAGAAGTTTTAGGTCAAATTTAAAAGCTTGGCCATTTTAAGTTTCAAAAGTAAATCTAAATTTTTAGATTTTGCAATCTAAAATCCAGAATTTTGACCTGGCAATCAGGAAACGGTTGTGAGCCTCTGACTCCATTTTAAGCAACATTCAGTTCTCTTCTTCCCTACCTCAGTGGGAGGCATTCTGAATTTTAAATGATAATGTGATAGTAGAATAGTAGTACAAAGCATTTAAGCTCAGGAGAGCTACTCACAGCCAAGTGGTAGTGATAGATAGTCCTGTTGACCTTCCCCGGGTTTTTCATATATTCATCATAAATGTCTTCATATATTTTCTGGACTTCTTGTATTGCCTGCAGAAATCAGACTTTCCAAGTAAGAGGCAAATAAGTCTTACCCTCAGTCCAGTGCAGACTTCCAGCTTGTGCCATCAACCTCTGGTGCAGAAAATTATTCTTGGTAAACTGAGGTAGACATGATAGTAAATATGGGAGGTTTTATAGCCTGATGACTATCAGAAGTACTCTGTATGGGTCAGAATCTGCTGTTTTCTGTGTTTTGGTTAGATGCTTTCTAGTTGGATAAGTTCAATGCTTGAATTTAATCACCCTTCTCCCAAGAAATACACCCTTATCATACAGTTCCACTTGATGTTCCTCATGGATGTGACATTTGACCACACAGATAGTCTTTCTTGAGGGAGCAAAAACTGCATCCCATTCTGAAACTGGACTTGTGATAAAACAAACTGTCATTTACTCCAGATAAGAATGTTAGAGAGTCTTGCTTGCAAAAGTCTCCTGGATACTTTTCCCTTGTATGAGCCAGCCTTCACGTCCGTCAGCCACAGTAATCTAGAACTGTCCTATTATTATCTTAGAAGAAGCTTGCTACTCACCACTTTCTTGCCTATGAAAGCAAATACTCCAGCAGTGACCTCAGCTGCAAATATCACCAACAAGCAAGCAAAGAACTGCAGAGGGAGAAGAGAACCTTATGTCAGTTTACTCTGCACAATGCGCTTTACAGGCACTGCCACTCAGCCCCTCATTCTTGTCCAGATCTCAACAGCCTCAACAATAACTGATAGAGAAAAATGGCAAACAGAATCAGTGACAAGGGCATCAAGTCAGGCTTCTTGTAATGTGAAAACAAAGGTAGAAATGGCAAAGAGATGGCTCTAATGGCAGTTTCAAGAAAGATGGGGTAATTCTAGGAAATACATTACAGGAGGCAAGCAATGGAACTTCATGTATGGAAGCGATGCAGTAGCATAATGGATAGAGATGCTAGATTAACCAATAAAAGGACATAAGACATTTCAGATCTTGGACAGCAAAGATCCTTCCACTAATGACACAAGACATATGCTTTTGAATGATTTTCCAGCACTTCCAGGCCCTTGAAACCTTTTACTTACTGCTCCAAGTAAGAACTGAGACTCGCGCGCTGCTCCACAGCACCCAAAAAATCCAACCATGGTCATGAGAGCACCTGCTCCCACCAATACATAGAGTCCTGTGGAAAATCAGAATCAGACAAGAATGTAAGAAAGTTTTTCTTTCCAAAGTCTGCTACCTAGTTTGTCAAAACCACACATTTGTAAATACAGCCATCTCTGTCTCTCACAAAGAACATCTGTTACACAAAAAAAATGTTCTTGCCACAAAAGGAAACTAAAGATTTCTGTAGAACTCTTGGAGAATCATGGAGACAAATGAAAAGACTTCCGCCTTCCAAATTTCCTGTTCCCAGGGCAGCTCAGTCCAGGAAGAACATACATTCTACCATCCCAAATGACTTTACAGCTCTTCAATGAGGAACATAAGGCAACAAATCCAACACTGCTTATTTCTATGAAAACTGGGGCTGAAAATGTCCTCTGCTGCTACGCAGGGGTGGAACTCAGAAAACTACCTGGCAATCTATGTTCTACCAGTTGCCTGGCAGTACTTAAAAGAGGACATCTGAAGATTGTCAGGAAAGGTACGGGCATTACAATATGATGTCTCTTTGAAATCAGGACTTTGGCTTGGGAAAAAGGTGAATGCTATTGGAAAGAAGAGGAAGATTGGGAGAACACCTTGAAAGCTGTTAGAGGAAGTGAATGAAACACTAAATTTGTCAGCTATAGTTCTGAGCTTGGCCACTGCCCAGAACAGAAGCTTGCCTACAATTCAGTGATTGGTAGTACGGCACCTTCCTTTTACAGTAACTAGCTATGTTACTGCCTGCTGGGAAGCAATATTCCAACATCACTAATGTACATTTTTTCCCCTCCAGTGTATAGATGTAAGCATCAAAAAATGAGACAGCAATAGCTTTTGAAGGCTAATAGTATCACTGCATTATGACCAGAAGACTTGGGAAAGTGTTGCCTGAAAATGGATAGAATCACAGGACTATACAAATCACATCAGATATTTAAAAAAAAAAATACAAACACAAAAACAAAAACAAAACAACAAACAAACACAGGTGATTCTTTGTTAAAGTAGTAGAGTACCTAAAACTTACAGGCCAAGAACCTTGCATGCTTGGCCTACAAACTCTATCTCATGATGCATGCTGCCTACATCTGAACTGCAGGATACCCTCCTAAAGCCCTTATTTCAGTAGGCAGCATCAGAATGGCTTTGCAGCAGCCAGTGGAAATACTGCATTGCTTTCATGTTCTGGACATTCACTGCTAAATGTTGTGCAGTTGTTGACCAAAAGATACCTGCATGTGGACAAATGTAATGACATAAAGAAAAAAACAAGTGGATCATCAGATCAAATGCATTAAGAGGATAATGAAGCAATCTGTGTATGAAACTGCCTGACACAAGTACAGAATATGGCACATGGCAGTATAGCCCCATTGGTAGAACAACAGATGTAGGATCCCAGCTATGTTCAGAACTTGGCAGGACAAAAACTCCTCTCCTCTTTCTTTTTCATACGGGCTTTATCTAGGACAAAGGGAAACCAGAGTACAGAATTTTTCTTTCCTCACTTGTAAACATGAACTGCTTGACCTGTGCTTAGGCAACACATCCGTTGTGTGTGGTGTCGTTCCCATCAGACGACAGCTGTGTTTGGGCCTTGTCTCTGGGTGCCATGCCAGACAAAGTACCAAAGACTGCGCAGCGTCATATAATTCTAGTCTTGGTCTTGTGTGGGCAACATGGAGGACACAGAGATCTGCTGTGCTGATCTACTGCTTGAAAGAACAGCTTAATTTCCTTCACCAAGCTGTATGAGGGGACAGTGGAGCTCTAGACTGTGCACACTAGATGGCACAGTGAGCCTTGCTCTCAGCTTTGGTTACTCAAACTTTTCATGAGAATGTTTAGTATTCTCAATTACAGATCTAAATATTTTAAAATGTGACCCAAATCTTCAGAGTTAACAGAGCTGCCAGGACTTACTATTAGCAGACCTTGTGTGACCTAGACTAGAAAGCCCTACAAATGACAGTTTGCAATGATGGCTTGGAAAATGAAAAAAACAAACTGACAATATACAAGTACAGAGGATATAGTCATACTGCCATGCAGGTGCAGCCTTTTTGAAGAAGGCAGACTCCAACCTGCTGCCTGTTCATTAGCTGTCCAGCCACTGTGTATTAGCCAGATATCCAACTCAGCTATTGTGATTCTTCTCCTCCTCCTCCATCTTTTGTGCGCTGCTTCCTTTCAGGGATTGCTGCTGAGGAAAACATTCTGCTAAATAGTAATAAAACAATTATAATTAATATGTTTTTGCCAGATCTGTGACACCAGATACGTACGATTTGCTGCTGACTCTGTTGGCAGTCCACATTATGTGTTTCCTGGATTTTTAATATTTAGCATCTTGGGGCTTAGTACGAGTGAGCATTCTTTAAGCTAATCACATTCACAATGCAGTGACTTTCACTGAGGGAGGGATATACAAGAATATATGTCACTCAGGAGTAGGGGTCAGCCCCTTGTTGGAGGAGAGTTGGAAAAAGCACCAGTCTTAACTTCAGTTGCAGAACCTGCTGCTCAACTGCCAAGCACTAAAACTGCCATTTTCTGAGATCTCCATGGTAACAAATAGAGTATAATTACAGAGATGTTTCCTGGGCCCTTTTCCGCATGTCACTTTCAACTAAAGTCCCTGCAATTACTTATTAGGAAACTTAGGAGACAGACTTTTTGATTAGGAAAACTCAAGAAATGTCTTCCCATTTCTTTTTGTTGCTCAGTGCTAGCAAAGACAAAGCTCTCTGAGGCTCAGGGATGAGACCACTTTCAAGAATCTTGGTTTCCTCATGTCTGAGAAACAGGCTTAGCATTTCACTTGCATGACTCACAGCTAAACCGCTACCTCCGTTTAGAACTTCCCTTTTAAGGCATGCTACAGGAAGAACTTCTCACACTACTCACTGAACAAAGCTCAGTTTGCTGTGTGTCGCAGTCCCATAGTTTTGTCAGCCAGAAGTTTAAAACCACTTGCTTCCATCTTTTGTTCAGGAGAGTTAATTCCAGAGTTTGTCCTTGCTCAGCATGGGACTAGTAATTGCTGACACTTAGAGAGTTATTTCTAGCTGAAAAATACTGAGGACATGTAAAAAAAAATCCACATAACTAAATATGCTTTTAAATGTCTACTATATATACACACATGTAACCTTTCAAACAGGAATAAGACACTTGAATTGTAGAATGAATTGGAAGGGACCTCAAATATCACCCAGTTCAAACCCCCCAGCCATAGGCAGGGACACACACCACCAGACCAGGCTGCCCAAAGCCTCATCCAACCTGGCCTCGAACACTTCCAGGGATGGAGCATCCACAGCTTCTCTGGGCAACCTGTTCCAGTGCCTCACCACCCTCATAGTTTCTTCGTAATACCTAATCTAAATCTACCCTCTTTTATTTTAAGGCCATTAGTCCTTGTCCTATCACTACACCCCCTGACAAAGAGTCCCTCTCCAGCTTTCCTGTAGGCTGCCTTTAAGTTGGCCTAGGTCAAGCTTTTCATCTACCAGTACCCCCAAGTCCTTCTCTGCAGGGCTGCTCTCTATTCACTCATTGTCCAGCCTGTATTCATGTTTGGGATTGCCCTGACCCACGTACCTTGAAGAATACCTTGTAAAAAATTCAGAGTGACCATATTACTTCTCAGCGTGCACTGAGGTTTCCTAGCACCCAGAGGCAGGTATGATTTTAAGGAAGGATAGCAGAGCAACAATTTCAGAAACATCCTAGATGATGTCAGTATCTGAGACAGGGAGCTACATTTTTTTTTTTCCTGTGGCCTATAACAGCAATGTAGGCACAATCACCTCAAATTCTGTAATGGGAATAGACCTAAACTAAAAAGTGAGTCTCTCTAGAAGGGAAAGAGAAAAAAAAGAGGGTGACAATGATGCATTGTATGGCATCCTTTAGAATCATGGCCTGACCTTGTGACATTGTCCACTGATGGCTGACAAACTTGGCTACATAGGATCAACAAAGAAGAAGACAAAGCCAGAAATTTGGTGGTATTAATGCCATACATTGCTGTGGAGGTAGTATCACATGTCAGAAGTAACTAAGCTTCACTAAACCCTGCTCCTTTTAAAAAAGAAAGTAGGACGGAAAGCAAAGCTTTAATCAGCTTCTATTCATAAGTGCTTCCATTGTAAAATACAAAGCCTTGACATGGCCTTCAGCTTGGCATCCGCAGCTCAGCAGAGAAAAAAAAAAAACAAACACAGTTTATAGTCACAAAATGGAACACATTTGATAGCTAGAAAATCTGACACAAAGAGCTTCTCCACAGAGCATGGCAAAATAAAATGTGCAAGTCACGTCAAGGCAGAGATTTGAGAATAGTCTAGCTGCAGCTTTTTGTGCAACAAAAGTAGAAAAGTACAAGGCAGAAAGGAAGCAAATGTTTTTGGCCTGTACAATGATTTTTTTTTCTTACCTCATTTTGCCTCTGTTCTTTTCCTGATTTCTAATTTGGTATCTTTTTTGATCTCTGTCTGCCAATGGAGAGGAGAGTTTGACAACTTACTAGTCACTGAGTTCGTTGTCGTAGTGTTTGGCACCACACATCCCATACAAAAAGCAGACATCAGATGGAGAGAGAATACTGAAAACAGGCATATTGCTATGACAAATAGGGCAAACATCAGACCTATAAAGACAGAAACCTGCCAACTGTTTGGCTACCTGCAACTCAAGAATATTTATTATATATGTTCATGTAGGACCTAAAAAGCAAGTCACTCTCAGCCCCTGAATGCCAAAGGTATGCATTTGGACAAAGTAACAACTGTCCCTAGAACCAGAGTCCCTCTATGCTCCCATTGCAAAGAATCATGTGGTAGGCAGAAGTGTGTACTGCCAATGTTTTATGAGGCAGAAAGGAAACACTGCAATACAAACCAGGCAGATAGGAACCTACTAATGTGGAAATTAAAGCCATTCTTATTTCATACAATGCATGAACTGTTATCACCACCATCAGATATAGTCTGCCAGCCTCCTAGACTGGTAGAGATCTAATTT